CAATTATTGTTATTATTGTTACTATTATTATTTTTATCTTCATCATCATCACCAACATCATCATCATCGTCGTCGTCGTCGTCGTCTTCGTCGTCATTATCATCATCATAACCATCATTATGATGATGATGATGATAATGATGATGATGGTGATGATGATGATGAAGATGATGATGATGATTATTATCATTATTATTATCATTATTATTATTATTATTATTATTATTATTATTATTAATAGTAATAATAATAATAACAATAACAATTATTATTATTATTATTATTATTATTATTATTATTATTACTACTGTTGTTGTTGTTATTATTATTTTTATTGTTATTATTACTATTAATCATAAATAATTTTGTTATCGTTAATATTTCTAATACTATTAATATTACTCTCACCATCATCATCATCAGTCTTCTTCTTCTTCTTCTTCTTCTTCTTCTTCTTCTTCTTCTTCTTCTTCTTCTTCTTCTTCTTCTTCTTCTTCTTCTTCTTCTTCTTCTTCTTCTTCTTCTTCTTCTTCTTCTTCTTCTTCTTCTTCTTCTTCTTCTTCTTCTTCTTCTTCTGTATAAAAATTAATTTAAAGAAAAAGAAGACAAAGAAGTATTTTTGTAATGGTTTCATTAACAGAAATGTTAACAATAATAATGAAATTAATAATGATAAGCTAATGATATATAAAGTAACTGTGCGTCGATGATCAACTATTGATAATAATATGGAAGCAAAGAAAAACCGTTTTAACAGTATAATGATAATCATAATGATTATGATGTAACAATTTTAGCAAAATAATACAAAAATGACAATTATAGCAAATAAAAATGATTATGATATCATTATTGTAATATGTAATAATAGTAATAAAACAATAATAATGATAATGATAATTATCGTATCATTATTGTCACCATCATCATCATCATCATCATCATCATCATCATCATCATCATCATCATCATCATCATCATCATTTTTTGGTAAGCAGCGTAGGGAGAGTCTTGTTTTAATTTTAGACAAAAATAAAATAACAATATAAAATGTTTAAATTTGTTTAATAGTTCAACGTTTCGCCCCGTGGGCTTCCCCAGGAGCAACTCATCATCATCATCATCATCATCATCATCATAAAGAATACTACTACTACTACTACTACTACTACTACTACTACTACTACTACTACTACTACAATAACAGCTACTACTACTACCACTACTACCACTGCCACCACTGCTGTTGTTGTCGTTGCTGCTGTTGCTGCTGCTGCTACTTCTACCACTCTAGCATTACTACTACTTTCACTATCATTACCATTACTGCTACTAGTATTACTACTACAACAACTTGTACAAACTACTACTCCAGCTGCTATTCCCGTTACTATTGATGCTGCTGTTATTTTAACTGCTACTACTGCTTATACTGATAATGAGAAGAAGAGAATATAATGCCAAATAGCAGGACTTAATATTTTTATCTTCAGACACCAAAATTGTGGGATTTAGTTACTGCTCAGAGGCCTAGTCAATTTTACACTGTATCCATTTTAGCAATATTATGTTGATTGCATGCTGAACCAAAGCATAGTGTCTGTACTGAAGACTGAATACATCAGGCATCCAAGCAAAGGCTGTTCAATTTATTGTAATAAGGCTGTGTACATTTATTCCTTTGTGCTGTAATCGTTGTTGTTGTTGTTGTTGTTGTTATTATCATTGTTATTGTGGTTGTTGTTGTTGCTTTTGTGGTTGTTTTTGTTTTGGTTGTTTGTGATGATGTCGTTTTTGCTATTGTCATTGTTGTTGTTGTTGTTTTAGTTATTGTTATTGTTGTTATTATTATTATTATTGTTATTATTATTATTATTATTATTATTATTATTTTATCCCTTACTAGAAATAATCTTGATTTAGTTATCTAGAACTATTATCCTGGTGCGATATTACCATCATCAACACAATTAACTTCGAACGCTAACTGGCCCTAGCGTCAGATCACTCGTTAAAAAAACGGGAATATAGGGTAAGCCTACATGCACTAGCAC